AAGATTCTGCCTACCACTTGGAAGAACCTTCTGAAATTCTCTGGCTCAGAGCCTAAGCTGCCTGGCTTCCTTGGCGTTCAAGGCCTTACCTCCTCTCCCAGCCAGCCCTTTGCCCTCCAGCCTGGGAGCCGCCAGCGCTTCCCTCCCCTTGCCTGTCCTGGTCCCTGCTGCTCACCCCTAGAGCGCCCTCTCCTTTCTTGCCCCCATGCCCGCTCTCATCGGTCCTCCAGGACCCAGCTCAGAGTCCCTCCTCTCCAAATCCACCTTCCCCAGTCACAGGAAGGGCTCGCCATTACTATAAATGTTTGCTGTGATTATTTTTAATCAGTTGATCCTAGGCTCAAACCGAGGCTCTGCCACTTCCTGGATGGCCCTCTTGGGTGAGTGACTCGACTCCACCTCCAGGGCTGAAGCCCCACCTCCAGGGCTGATGGAGGAGGGGAGCCCAGCATGTGAAGCCCTGCCCAGAGCTCCATCCAGGTGTGGAGTAACCAGGGCCTGAGGGGCTGGCAGGAGGAGAGACATTTATTTTCAAGAAAGATGGTTGGTGATTCCAGAAAAGACAGGAGGAGAGAAAAAGAAATTCCATCCCTCCCACCCACCTGTGTTAGCATTATTGATCTGAGGCCGGAGTCAACAGTGTCACAGGTATATTGATTGACTGGGCCGGGCCAGGCCTTTCAGGGGAGTGTGTGCTGCTTACACAATCAGTTCTGTCCCCTGCCCTCCTGGCACATTGATTATGGGATTCAAATCACCCATAAAGCTTCAGTGGACAAAGGCCGCCAGCTGGCGTGGGGATGAAGCAGGATGTGCCCAGGAGAGTCAGTGGCACCTGAAGGAAAGGCAGAGCTCAGCTGGAAGTGTCCATATTTCCAGGAGGGAAGCAGGTATTGAGGCCAGTGCTGCAGGCGAAGGAAGGAGCAGCCATACAGAAAATGAACAGAACCCCCTGCCCACATGGAGCCTCCATTCTTTCTACATATAGTGTCATTGTCACATGTCATAAGTGAATTTCCTTACTCCAGAATGTGTACAGGAGTGCCCGGGACAGGAGGCCAATGAAGAACAGCTGCTCCACAGACCAGGCCTGGCCTCAGTGAAAGGGCAAACCAGGGACTGACTCCATTGTGTTCTGCATCCTCCATCTGAAATAACTATGTCCCCAACATGACCCCTTTCCTGGAGAGTTCCTGCACAAACTACTCCAGCCAATTGGGACCTGGATCCTACTCCAGCCAATCAGGACCCAGATCCTACTCCAGCCAATCAGGACTCGGGTTCTCCCCCCACCAGTCAGCAAGAAGCCCACCAACTCCCCAGCCAATCCGCCAGAGCCACAACCATCATCCCACCAACTAACTCTAGACCCAGCCAATCAGCCAAAACCGTACCCCTCACCCCACCAACCACCCCTAGAGCCCCATAAAACCTTTGTGTTTTTGAAACGCTCTCTCTCTCTCTCTGGTGCAGATGAGAGATTGAGTTCTAGCTGGCCTGAATAAAGGCTCTTTGCTTTTATATTGGTGTTGGCTCCTCGGTGGTCTTCTGGGTTCGTGACTTTGGGCATAACATTTGGGGGCTTGTCTGGAATCCCAGAGGCCCCCAGGACCCCCAACCCGGAGGGCCAGTGGCTGGTGAGTGCACTCAGTTATCTGTCTGTCTTTGTCTGTCTGTGTCTCACTGTTTTTGTTTGCGAACAAGCCTGTATAAGCCTGTAGGAGCTCCAATCTGTATCAGGGTTGGCATTGACTTAGGCAGACGCGCTGGCAGGTCACTGACCGGGGGTCTTGGGAGACGTCCCTTGCCCCTGTCTGGAGGACCAAGTCCTCATCTGTGAGGAAAGTCGGCCGCTGCAGTCTGACAAGCCCTCAACTTACTTTCAGTTTTACCTCCGTGGCCGCGGCAGATTCTTCTCTGTAGGTGCCTGTTGGTTGTTATGTTTATCTTAGTCTTCTTGTTGATGGAAGAAATGGGACAGATTCAGATGACCCCCCTTGTCTCTCATGACAGACCATTTTTCAGACATTAGGGAGAGAGCCCACAATTTGAGCATGGACGTCAAAAAGGGAAAATTTCGTGTTTTCTTCACCTCCAAGTGGCTGTCCTTTAACTTTGGCTGGCCGCTGGAGGGAACTTTTGATCTAACCACGCCTTTACAGGCTAAAGATTATCTTCAGGAAAGGAGCCCAGGGCCGTCCAGGCCAAATTCCCTACATCTTGGTCTGGCAGGACCTGATTGAGAATCCGCCCTCAAGGCTTAAACCTTTCCTTCCATCCAGGACAGGTTCCATGCCCAAAGTCTTGGCCCTATGGGATCCAGTCCCAAAGTCTCAGAGAGACTCAGAACTTAAAGAAACCAAACCCTCCCTTTACCTGGTCCTGCAGGACACCATCTCAGAGGAGTTAATCTTTCCACCACCCTATCAGCCCCTCCCAACAGTCCCACCAGCAGAGCCAGTAGAACCTGATGGAGGAGAACCGGTTTCAGAAGAACTGGTTCCGGAAGAACCAGTTCCTGTTCCTGAAGGAGGAATGCCTGCACATGGACCTGCTGCGGGGACACAGGGCCAAGTCAATCGGGCAGTCCTCAGCCAAGGACCCTCTGACTCAACTGTCCTCCCCCTGCACACCGCAGGGCCCCCTGATGAAACAGGAGGACAGCCAATGCACTATTGGCCGTTCTCCACTAGTGACCTCTATAACTGGAGAACTCAGAATGCTAAGTTTTCAGAAAATCCCAAAGATCTTATTAACCTTTTAGACACTGTTCTTTTTACCCATCAGCCCACTTGAGATGATTGCCAACAGCTCTTACAGGTTCTTTTTACCCCTGAGGAGAGGGAAAGGATCCAGGTGGAAGCCTGAAAGTCAGTTTTGGGTGACAACAGACAGCCCACTCAGAACCCAGAGCTCATAAATGCTGCTTTTCCTCTCTCTTGTCCAAACTGGGACTACAATTCCGCAGAAGAAGGTAAGGAGAGACGCCAGGTCTATCACCAGACTCTGTTGGCAGGTCTCAGGGCGGCTGCATGAAAGCCCACTAATTTGGCTAAGGTATATAATGTTCAACAAGGCAGGGATGAAAGTCCAGCGGCATTTCTAGAAAGGATCATGGAGGCCTTCAGACAGTACACCCCCATGGATCCTGAAGCTCCAGAACTTTAAAAGAGACCTTAACTAAACTAGCCCTAGAGACTGGCAGGGACTGGGTGACTCTCCTCCCCTTTGCCCTTTATCGGGTGCGTTAACTCCCCATATAAGATGGGACTTACTCCTTTTGAGATCATGTATGGCATCCCTCCACCCATTATTCCCACCCTCAAACCTGAGGTACTTGCTGAATTTGATGATCACCAACTCCTTTTTTCCCTCCAAATGTTGCAACAAACCCATGAGCAGGTCTGGCCTAAGCTGAAAGCTCTTTATGAGACCAGAACCCCTCCAGAACCGCACCGCTACCATCCAGGTGACTGGGTGTACGTCTGGAGACACCAACACCAGACACTTCAACCACACTGGAAGGGACCCTACATCGTGATCCTGACCACTCCCACCGCTCTCAAGGTTGACGGGATTACTCTCTGGGTCCACTGCACCCACGTCCGACCAGCTGACCCACATGCTGTTCTCAAGGACTTTGTTCCAGGATGGAAAAGTCAGCCAGACAAAGACAATCCTCTAAAGCTAAGACTGCACCCTTCTCACTTACCCCACTAATGTTGCTTATGCTATGCCTTCCTCATGCCAAAACCCGCGACCCTAACCCTCATACCCCCTATAATAGTACATGGCAAATCATTACCCCAGCTTCCCAACAGGTAGTAGTCCAGTTAATGGGACAATACCATAGGGGGACCTGGTGGCCTACCCTCACTGTGGACCTGTGCACTCTCTTTAAACAAGACCCTTGGCACGAAGGTAGAATAGGGATACCAGGATGCGGTACCCAGACTTCCATGAAAGAACTCCAAAATACCTGCTTCTATGTATGTCCAGGCTCCCAGGCCGACAGTGCCAAGATCTCACAGTGTGGTGGGTGGGCAGATTTTTTCTGTAAAAATTGGGGTTGTGAACAGACTGGGACATGCTATTGGCTGACAGGAAAGCCTCCCCCAGGCCTCATAAAAATCCAACGAAATACATCTCACACCCAATGCACGACTAATCCCACCTGCAACCTAATTGACATCTCCTTTACAGATGCAGGAAAAAAAGAAACAAACTGGGAAGAAGGGCATACGTGGGGACTACGACTCTACCAGAGCGGATATGATAATGGGGTCTTGTTTATGCTCAGGCGACTCGAAAGGCCTCTAGCCAGGCCCCAGAGAATAGGCCCAAACCCTGTGCTAGCACCTCCTCCACCCAAACCTCAGACAACTCCTATCTCCCCATCGCCCTCCCCTATACCTGCCATAACGTCTGCGTCCAATAACACCTCTGATGCAGACACAATCACCCCCATCCTGACCTCCCTCCCACAGGACCCTCCCTTCCACAGCCCCTCTCAACATCCACTTTGAGATCTGATGTTCCAAGCTTACAGGTTCCTCAATGCAACCAAATCCAATCTTACCCGATCTTGCTGGCCTTGCTGTGACATCCAGCCTCCCTTCTATGAGGGAATCGCAATGTTGGGTCATTACAACACAACTTCCAACCCTAATGCCTGTAGATGGCACCAAAAGACTCAAGGATTCACTTTATAGTCAGTGTCAGGTTACGGCCTCTGTTTAGGAAACCCCCCCTTCAATATCAACCCCTCTGTAACAAAACCATAAACCCCTCTAGTCCAGACTATTATGTACCCGCCCAAGAAGGATGGTGGGCCTGCTCGACAGGCCTGACACCTTGTGTCCATGGGCAGGTCTTAAATAAGACTAAAGGATTTTGTGTCTTAGTCCAGCTTCTTCCTAAAATCCTTTATCACTCAGAAGAAGAAATATATCAGATATTTGAGTGAGATCAGACGTGCTAGGAGAGAACCCATTTCAGCATTAACAATTGCAATGCTCTTTGGAATAGGGCTGACAGGAGTTGGGACTGGAGTAGCTTCATTAATGATGCAAAGCTCCCATTATAACAGCTTGAGAGCTGCAATAGATTTAGAACTTGAGAGAATAGAAACCTCCATCTCCCACCTTCAAGAATCCTTAACCTCTTTATCAGAAGTTGTCCTCCAGAACAGGAGAAGTTTAGGCTTAATTTTCTTACAACAAGGAGGGTTATGTGCAGCCCTAGGGGAAGAATGCTGTTTCTTTACAGATCACTCGGGAATTGTCAAAGAATCTATGGCTAAAGTCCGGGAAGGCTTGGCCAAACGCAAGAGAGAACAGGAACAACAACAAGGATGGTTTGAATCTCTATTTAACAATTCCCCATGGTTAACAACCTTAGTCTCCACCCTAATGGGCCCTCTAGTTATACTGTTACTCTTGCTTACCTTTGGACCATGTATCCTCAATAGACTGATGACTCTTATCAAAGATAGAATTAATACAGTCCAGCTAATGGTGCTAAGACAGCAGTATCAGCCTTTGTCTCCTTACAACTGTGAAACCCCATTAGACCCATGATTGGGTCCCCTCTTACGATCCAAAGAGACTGGGTGAATGAAAGGGCAAACCAGGGACCAACTCCATTTTGTTCTGTGTCCTCCATCTTAAATAACTATGTCCCCAACATGACCCCTTTCCGGGAGAGTTCCCGCGCAAACTACTCCAGCCAATCGGGACCCGGATCCTACTCCAGCCAATCGAGACCCAGATCCTACTCCAGCCAATCGGGACTCGGGTTCTCCTCCCACCAGTCAGCAAGAAGCCCACCAACTCCCCAACCAATCTGCCAGAGCCATGACCATCACCCCGCCAACTACTCCTAGACCCAGTCAATCAGCCAAGACCCCGCCCCTTACCTTACCCCACCAACTGCCCCTATAGCCCCATAAAACCTTTGTGTTTTTGAAACTCTCTCTCTCGCTCTCTCTCTCTCTCTCTCTCTCTCTCTGGAATCTCACCCCTGCTTTGGTGCAGATGAGAGATTGAGCTCCAGCTGGCTTGAATAAAGGCTCTTTGCTTTTGCATTGGTGTTGGCTCCTTGGTGGTCTTCTGGGATTCGCGACTTTGGGCATAACACTCAGGTCCCTAAGCACCCCAGGCTGGGCAGGATTTCACCGCTGGAGCAGCACAAACCACAAAACATGATGCATGCAATGGGCCAGGCGCAGAAATTATGCAGAGAAGAGATAAACTCCACATGGGTGCTGCAGAAACAGGGAGGAGGAAATCAGGGAGGGCCACTGGGAGGCGTTTGCAGGGCAGGAAGGAGGGCTGAGCTCTTCCTTCCCATCCAGGCCTCTTTGTGCTTCACTAGAGCTCCAGCCCCAGGGAAGGAGGGAAGCGGGGCAGGGCCTGCAGGCCACATCCATTTGGTATTCGTCCCAGAGCAGTGGGTGAGGAGCCACCGAGGGTTTTAAACTGCAACATGACATAGTTTGATCTTCATTACAGAGCAGTACTGGGAGCCAGAGGAAGGAGCTTTATACAGTGGAAATCTCTTTGCTGCTTTTTCCCTCTGAAAATACATTTAAAATTGCCAACAACGAAAATAAAATCCCCTCTAATCCCACCCCCAGAGATATTTCCTCCTAGATATTATACCTTCCTACATATACATAAGCGCTTACAGGCACACCTGAGACACGGCGGCTTCAGTCCCAGACCACCGCGGCAGCGAGAACATCGCAACAAAGCAAGTCAAGTGACTTTTTAGGTATCCCAGAAATGTAAAAGGTATGTTGACACTCTAACGCAGTTTATTAAGTGTGCAATAGCATTACGTCTTTAAAAAAATGCACAAAATTCAAAAATGCTTTATTGCTAAAAAATGTTCACCATCACCTGAGCTTTCAACAAGTGGTAATCACTGATCACAGACCACAGTAACTAATGCAATAGTAATGAAAAGATTTGAAATATTGAAAGAAGTACCAAAATGTGACACAGAGACACCAAGTGAGCAAACGCCGTTGGAAAAATGGCACCAATAGACTGACTTAATGCAGGATTGTCAGAGGCCTTCTGTTTTTAAAAAAAATAGAGTCTGTGAAGCACAATAACACAAAACACATAAAACAGGGTTTGCCTGTATAGGTTTTATATAACACACACACACACACACACACACACACACACACACACACACACACACACACACCTCTCAAAGTATTGATTTATTCCATGAATATTGCTGGTGCCTACTATGTGCCGGGCAGAGCCCCCAGTGACCGGGGCTCATGGAGGCCCACTCTGCTCAGCAGCTCCCAAAGCCCCCAGCAGAGGCCTTGGTGAAGCCGGGAGTCCTGGTGCCCCACGAGCAGCCCCAAACCTCCCTGGCAGTGTGGGGTGGAACAAAACACAGGCTTCCAAGGGGACACACCTCAGGTTGAATCCTGGCTCAGACACACACGTGCTATGTGGCCTTGGCCGGGTTGCTTTACTTCTCAGAGACATATTCCCAACTCTTACACGGAGACTAAGATTGCCACCAAACAGAAAGAAAGAAATGGAGCAGGACAGCAAAGTCCCTGGTGTGGTGCCTGGAAGGTACCTGATGTTCAGTAAACAGGGGCTTTCCCTCTGCTTCTCTGGCCCCTCCAAGGCCCCTGTCTCGGAGCTCCAGCTGCTGAGCATTTTGAAGCGCCATCAGATCATAACCAAGACATGGATGGATGATGCTGGGCTGTCAGTGTCCCAGTGCTTTGTGACCCTCAGCCTGCTGGAGCCCACTGCCTGCCTGGCATGTGATCAGAGCCTTTCTTTAATTTACAGCCTGGTGACCCTCACTGGCTCCCAACACCCAGATGTCTCCCAAGGCCTCTGAGGACAGAGGTTGGGGCTGGGCCTCCACCCTACCCAGGACCCAGATTCCAGGGGCGGGCAAGTACTGGCCTCAGCTGTGGGGAGTGGAGGGCCTGGCTAGGAGTGAGCTGGACTTTCTGCTCCCAGGTTGCACAGGGACCTGGGAATCCCCACTGCCACTGAGGAATCCTGAGAGGGGAGCAGAGTAGTGAGAGGCCATGGAGCCAAGTCACACAGGGCCAGGTTGAAGGGACTATGGGAAGGGGGCTGCTGAGGAAGGACTGCAGTGGGCCCCAGGGACCAGCAGGGCCTGCCGGGGGGACTCAGATCGGCCCACAGCGTTAAGGTTCCCTGGAGCTTGGAAGAAGGAGCCTGTGCTCCCCACACCCTGCTCAGCAGGCCAGAGGCCCCGCATAGGGCAGACCCCCTGCCCCCAGGAAGGCTCAGGGGCTGCCTGAATTTCCTGCCACCAAGCACCTTGTAAAGCGCTTCCTCCTCCTTTCACTCTCCCTCTCTCTGCAGCTTCTCTGTGCCACACTCGGGACAGATGACCTCCATGCGAGGTGCAGGCCAATGAGAAGGGAGCTCACGCTGCCCCTCCCATGTGGCAGGAGGGCCTGACCCTAAGGCCCTTCACTCAGATAGCCAGTGAGGCTCCTTTGTGCTCATCCTCCTTAGAAGCTGCCCCTCATGCCCCCTGGGTCTCATTTCACCTATTCCAGGTGCAGATCCTAAAGTTGGTCTCTGCTGAAAGGGTCCCAGCTCCACCCTCATCAGGGAGAGCCCTGGGCACTGCCCCTGCAAGAGATAACCCAGACTTGGGTCCAAAGGCAGCAATGCTTAGAACCATCTAGTGCACCTCTCTTCCCCCCATTTTTCAGAGAGGAAACTGAGGCCCCAAAAGGAGAAGAGGCTTTCTCAAGGTGCCACTGCAATCTGGAGACAAGCTGCCCCTTCCCTCGCCTCCTTTCACTCCTTCTCTCCCCTTGTCCGTCTCCCCCATGTTGGTTTCCTGCCGCCCAGTTTCTGTGTCTTGCCCCAGGTCACTCAGGACTGTGCTGTTTGTGCCCACAGGGCCTTGGGAGTCGGGCAGACCTGGTTCAAAGCCCAGCCGCCCTCTCCCAGCCACGTCATCTGACCGGAGTCTGAGCTCCTTGGAGCCTCAGTCCCTCTGGGGAACGGGGTTAATCCGAGCCCACCTGCAGGACTCTGGGAGGAATTGAGGGAACATGGGGAAAGGGCTTATTAGCGCTGGCCTGATGGACCCTTATGGAAAGATGGGGGAAAGGGCAGAGACAGACAGACACAGACAGCCAGACAGCCAGACCATCGGAACAGGCCAGGACCAGGCCTCCTGACGCCCCCTCCTCGGCTGCCATGATGACAAAGGGATGATAAAGGACCTACTGTGTGCTGGGCCTGTCCTAGGCTGTGTTTAAAGGGCATGTGAAGGTGACTGTGGGCATTTTGCTCATTTTAATGCTTAAAAAGAGGACAGTATGGGCTCATTGACTGCAGAGCAGTGACAATTATTTTCAACTCCAGCTTAAGGTAGCAGCTCCTTCCTCTCACCACCCATCCTGCTGAGCCTCTGCCCATCCTGGAGCAGCAAGACCCCCCCCCACACACACACAGATACCCCCTATACCAGCCCCCTGAATGCTATCCTGGGTGAGCCTTGGAACTGTTCACGAGGTTTGACCAGCAGCTTGTGAAGAGGCAGGAAGCAGGATCCTGTGTTCTGTGCTACACGGCCAGCCTTTTAGTGGGAACTGAAACCCTCTCTAATGTCAGGCAGCTCTGAGTCCTCCACCAGCCCCTGGGAAGCCCGGCTCAGGGGCAGTCGGCCCACCCACTATTGGTGTTTCCTGGAGGAACAATGGAGCATGAAGGGAATGCAGTCTCAGGTGGTCAAGGAAGACCTCTTGAAGGACGTGACATTTGAGCTGAGACAGTCATAGAATCTCAGAGCTGATCCTCCAGCCTCTGAGATTATGACCTAGAATCCTTCTGAGGTCAGGGGTGACATGCGCAGGAGACAGGAACACAGCAGGGTGCATGCGATGCTGGTGCTCAGCCTCAGAGCTGAGGGAGTCAGCTCAGCCTCAGAGCTGAGAAGTGGTGGGGACCAGGTCTCAGCAGAGAGCCTAAGGGTGACTGTCTGGGGGCAGAAGCTGCCAAGCTCCAGCCAACTGACTGTCCAGGCCACACCCAGCATGGTCAGACCTCCTGATTTTTCAGAAGAGGAAATCAGATTCTTATGTGTGACACCCCAATTTTTAAACATTGCCAACTGATTAAATCTTTTACAGAAGACATTTTGAAAGGGAAAAAGAGCCCATCAACCAAACTGATACATCCTATAGGCCATCCTTTTGCAACTCCTGACCTAGTCCAATGCCCACATTTCACACTGGGGGGGCAGGGGGCACTGAGGTGCCCCTCGCTCTATCTCTTTCACTCTGCCCCTCCCAACCGTGGCACCTCATCTCTGCCTCTCTCCTTGGCCTTCTATCTCCATGCCCATCTTTCCCTCCCTCCTTCCTTCCTCCCCTTCTATGTCAGTTGTTTATTTTCAGAACCTCAAAATCCTTTCCAAGCCTCCCCAAGCCTCTGACATTTACTCTTTGGAATCAGAATATTTTCTATTTCTCTTTCCCAGAGCGAGGCTGCTGGGTGAGATTTCCCCAAGGATGTTGCCCGCCCTTCTGGAGGTGAAGTGTGGGGAGCAGAGCTGGCTTATGTCAGCCCAGCACCACTGTGTCAACCAGCCAGTATTAGGCACCCACTGTACACCCAGCCCTTCTCATGAGCCATCTCATCCAGTCCATCCAGAACCCTGCAGGGCTGCCTTGGCTATCTGCACACATCCGATGAATAAACCCAGCCTTGGAGCAATAAAACCACAAGTCTAAGGTCACCTAGCAAATGAGAAGCGGGGCAGCGGGGAAACCACACCTCTCTGTCTCCAGGTCGTCCGTTTTCCTCCTCTGTGCTCTGCCTTCAAGGCCCGGGTGCTGGTGCATTCAGGACTTGCAGCATCTTGGGAGACCAGGGTTCAGGGGACACAGCATCCGTGCAGAGGGAGCAGCAAGAACAAAGGCACAGAGGCAGGAACAGCACGTGTATCAGGGGCCAGCAGGGGGCTGGGGTAGGAAGTTCCGATCTGAGAGCAGAAAGGGATGAGCACAGCTACAAAGGCCAACTTGGCTGGTGTGAGTCAGG